CAAAAAAAGAAAAAGAAAAAGAAGTTAGTTAGTAAACAAAATATAAATAATAAAAATATACCAATATCAAAAATATTATAAAATTTTTAAAAAAATTCATAACATGTTATGCAAGAAAAAAAATGGAGAGTGGAATAAAAAAGATGGTAAAATACAAAACAATCAAAGGGAAAGAAAAGGTGAAGAACAATAAGAGGTGTAGAGAAAAAAGAGAGGAAAGAAAGGGGAAGAGAAATAAGAGAGGAAAGAGAGGGGAAGAGAAAGAAAAAAGGAAAAAGAATAAAAGGACTAGAGAAAAAAGAGAGGAAATGAGAACGAAGAGGAAGGAACAAAGTAAGAAAACCTAGAAATGAAGGAGATGAAGAAGAAAAAAGAGAGGAAGAAGAGAAATCAGAAAAATGAGAAAAGGGATGAGAGCAAGTCGATAATATATAGATTTTATACAGATCGAAAACGGTTCGAATATAACAAATGAGCGCCGGCCAACCACGCATCGGAGAGGTTTAATTTTTTGGTGAAAATTTGGTGGGACAAATTTACGGACTGAAATCGGTTTGAAAATAAATAATTAAGCTTAGCACCCACCAAAAAAGTTTAATTTTTAGTGTAATTTTGGTGGCACAAATATACGGATCGAAACCAATCTGTAAATAAATAATTAAGCGCAAATCCTGAAAAAAAGTTTAATTTTCAGTGAAATTTTTTTGGAGCCAAAACTTTACGGACCGGAATCAGTCTGGAAATAATTAATTAAGTGCCAAGTTAAAAAACTGGTTTGATTTCTGATAAAATTTTGGCACACAAAGTTACAGACCAAAATCGGTCCATAAATAAATAAACGAAAACCATATTCCTAGTGGTAATCTGGGTGTACAATATGTCGCACCACAATTGGTTATATTCGGATCAAAATCGGTCCAAATATTATAAATAGACCGTATGCGGTCCGAATATATACCATCATCTAAGACATTATACTTTTTTATTCTTTTCATCTAAGTACATCACTAGTCTCCCGTGCCTCGATTCCATTGCTGCGAAAGAAAATTCTATGCACATCAACACTATAGCCCCTCGCAACCCCAGAATCATTGGTTTACATCTAAAATTGTCTAACGGTAGCGTAGGATAACATCATTGTAAAGTTACAAACGTATAAGTGCACGGTTATTAGCGTTAAGGTTTGGTCTTGTGATTTCGGAGCCACAAACGCAAGCATTTTAAATCTTGCTATTCAAAATGTGAGCGAAATAAGGTAACACTTGAAAAAAACAATAGACTGGCATATATTAGACCGAAACCGGTCCGTATATTTAATTTTGGATTGTTTATGGTCCGAATATATGCACAGCATCTAGAAACTTCTCATTTGGCATTTTTTCAGACTGTTTTTGGTCTGAATATATTGCAACAATCTAGAAGCTTCTTCCAGTGCACTTTTTTATTCTTTTTATTTAAGGACATCACTATCCTCCTGTGCCCCAATTCTGTTGTTACAAAAACCAGTTGTGTCTACATCGATACTATAGTCCCTTCTAGCCCCGGAACCATCGATTGTCTACCTAAAATTATCTAACGATGGTATGGGGTGACATCGTTGCAAAACCATGAATATATAAGTATAAGGTTATTAGATTTAAGGTTAGGTAATGTCCTTTTGGAGTCATAAGCAACTAAAATTGATTTTATTCGGTTAAAGTTAACCACTTTGGCACGAAAACATTTGGAATGTTATGGTTTAAAACGAGAGCAGAACGAATTGAGCATGAGATAAGCAAACAAATGAAAAAGCTGCAGGTTGGTATATATTCGGACCAAAATCGGTCCGTATATATATGTAAGACTCAAATGGTATCCTGCATATAGATATACGGACCGATATCGGTCTGTATATATAAGTCCAATCCTAAACCCTAAACCGTAAACCATAAACCCTAAACCCATCACATATAGATATATACGGATTGGTTTTAGTCCGCATAACAACTGTAATGAATACAAAAATGGCAAAGGCTCTGTTGAGCCTCCCATGTATATATGCATATATATACGAAACGGTATTAGTCCGTATATATGCAAGGCCCATCGTTGAGCCTCCTATGTATATACGGATCGATACCGGTCCGTATATCTAAATGGATATATATACAGACTAGTTTCGGTCTGTATATACGCAAGGCTCAACGTTGAGCCTCCCATGTATATATGCATATATATATGTATATGGACCGATATCGGTTCGTATATATGCAAGGCCCAACGTTAAGTCTCTTATTCCGTATATCTATATGTGGACCAATACCGGTCCGTATATCTATATGCACATATATAAATATATATATGGACCAAAACCGCTCCCTATATACATGTACACACTCAATAAAGCCTCTGCCATTTGTTTGTGTATAGGTACTTCATTTAATTCAATATTTCTTATATGTAAAGGATTTAATTGATATTTAAATTAAAATATTTGATAATGTGAAATTATTCTCACATAATTTATGATATTTATAGTATAAAATGCCAAAAAATTTTGTTAATTTATTATATATATGTCTCCAATGTTTACTACAAATATAAAGTAAATACAAATGTTTAATTCCAACATAAAAAACCTAAATATCTCGTGGTGCCCTAGGGATAACAATCCCACTGGTATCCGCTGGGGTCATCCCTAAATGCTGGAAGAGTTGCTGCATCTGTGCAGCAAGGGTCAACTGTGACTATCATAGGCTCTTATTATCTTCCATAAGGGTCATCTGTGATTGTCAAAAACTATCATTATCTGCCTTCAATGATTGAACAGTTTGCTCTAATTTGATGACCCTACTAGACTGTTCTATGATGGGTGGCTTGAATGGTTCCTGTTTAGATGTGCTTACACCTATATCCTATGGATGTGTATGAATGTCCAGACCTTTTAGCCATCCTTTCTTGACCTCACCAGTTGCCCTAAGTAATAACTCACCATGAGCTATTGTAGGGATAAATCCTTCTTCCTTTTGCCTAGTAGCATATTCAGTTGCCAATTTTTCCTAAAATAATATAAAACAAAATAAATAATTAATTGTATTGAAAATTAAAGTGAAATTTAAAATATCACTTTAGGGAATTAAACTAAATTTCACTTAAATTCAATTTACTCTCTCCTAAAAGGATGGAGTTCTAACTTTTTACCAACAATCATATTATACAATAATTTCAATATTTTAACCAAAATAATTTTAATTAATTCATAACATAATTTAAAATAAAATTGTTAAATTAAATACTTACGCCAATTTCTTAAGTCTCATTATTACAATATATAGGCAGTTGGTTTTTTCCTTTTCCTTTGTGCTGCCTTCTACTAGTGTACAGCTCAGGAAATGTCGGTGGATGACCCTCAGGGTTTGCTTGTTGCTATAAAGAAGAAAAAAGAAGAGCAAATATTAAAATCAATATAAAATAAATTATAAATCATAGTTCATTAATTATTCATTAAAAATATGTTAACTTTTATATCATTTTCTTTTTATAAACATTAACATCCATTGAACTGCTGGTATGCGTCACCCTTGGTCCTTTTGCTCGATTTGCCCTTGCAGAATTTGACCTTCTCAAATGACCCTCGTCCTGTAAAAGTGATGAACACATATATTTCTGAATTAGTACTATGATAAAAACATTAAACATTACAATTGAAAATTTTTTAAAAAATAATAATAAACACATGAATTTACTCAATTACCTCAGTCCATAAATGAACAAGCTTCGCCCATAACTCTGGATTCATATCTGGAGGCTTAACTCGAAAGTTTCTCTTTGCACACTTAGCTTTCAACTCACTAAGTGCATGCTTGAACTTGATCCTTGCTATCATTTTCCACAACTCATTTACTTGCTTATCAATCGGAGGGTTCCATTCATATGTTTGCTGAAAATAATAGAAATATAAATAATTAATTAATTTAACAAACAAATTATTAATGATAATAACAACAAAAAATTCAAATTACTTAAAATTTGAAGATAGAAATTGAAAATATCTAATTTGTAGATAGAAATTAAGTGTTTAGGGTGTACACAGAATATATTTCAATACATGTCTTGATGCTCAACAAGGACCTATCCCCACAATGTGTAAGCATCTGGGAGATTCTCCTGCAACTGGATCACAATCTATCGTTTGACCTTTTGTGGCAAACCAGCATACTCATCTAGCTCTAATGAGATCTTCGTCCCATCTGTAGGCATATGTAGGCATCTGTAGGGGCTTAAGTTGCCCCCATCCCTGTCTCTGTTGGGGAGTAGCCACAGCTATCTCCTCATCACTGGGAGACTTGGCCTGTATATCAGCATCTAAAGTTGGAGTCCCCAAAACCACATAAGTAGAAACTTCCTCTTGAACTCATCTTTGGGGGTCAAATGAGTTTGGCCGTTGTAGCGGTTGGGTGGAATCTACAATCTCTGTGCAATGAGAACTACAACAATCCACCATAAAAAAATATAACAAATACAAAAAAAAAAAAGGAATCATTAATAAAGTAATTTAAATGCAATAAATAAATTACTATTAATATCACAATAAAAATTAAAATAGTTTTAATTTCTATAGATAAACAAATAATAATCAAATTATATTTTAGTTGAATAACATACAGTATAACTAATATAAATAAAAAAATTATATAAATA